TATTACAGAGATAACAAGATTAGCTCTGTAATATCCATCTGGAGCCGCACTTGGAACAGTTCGAGGAGAGTCTGCAGAGCCACAGCAGCCAAAGAGATGAACCAAAACTAAAAAAGGAAGTGCATCTCTCCCCCTTTATACTTTTACAGTTCAAAAGGGTTGAATAGATACAACTACTGTATAGGCTGTTTTCCACTGCAGCCCTGAGACAGCAGTGGGAAAGTTTGGCGTGTTGTTTGGGCCTGTGTTTGCTTTTCACCACACGGGAAAGACAGAACAATGTAAAAAAAAAACAAATTGTTAAATAAAGCCGAGAACACGCCTCGGCAAAAAGACCATCTTTAGGTGGTTTAATGAAAGTCATTTGTCGCTGTGGTTTTTGGGCAAAATTCCTGTGTTTTTGGGTAAAGAATGAGGCTTGTTAGTGCTTGATTTGCACAAATGTAATACAGTGGTAGCAGCAGCCTCTGCAACATTTTTTTTTTATCAAATATGAGGTTATATAATTGCTTGAATCAAATGGTTTTCATCCTAATTTCAACACATTCTGACCTAGATTTATCAATGGGACAAAGCCATTTAGTCTTATTTCAAGAACTAATGCTTTATTTTCTCATTCTTAAAACAAGATCATTTTGCTTGTTTGCAAATCTTGTTTTAAGGCAGTCAAAATGTGCTCGAATCCAGATACAATTTGACTTTTTCATCACTTTTTGCAGTGTAGTTGTGAAGTCTCTGGATTTTTTTTAACCAATTAGACATGGTCACGAGAGCACTATATTCTCCAAGAAACTGGAACTGGTTTTGTGAATTTGGCAAAATGTTGTTGAGGACCAGATCTAAATATGTGAAGGTTTGCAGTTGTAAGTATATTGTGTGTACTTAGTGTGCACTTGAAAGTAAAAATGTTTATGAGACATGCAACATTACTACTACATCATTTGTTCGCATCACGAGCCAAAGGAAATTCCTAGTTTGTGGCTTCCCGTTAGTTCTAATGTCATTTCGGACCTACGCCAGGGTCCTGTTCGTGGACTTCAGCTCTGCCTTCAACACAATCCTGCCATCCCTGCTCCAGGACAAGCTCTCCCAGCTCAACGTGCCCGATTCTACCTGCAGGTGGATCACTGACTTCCTGACGGACAGGAAGCAGCGAGTGCGTCTGGGGAACAATGTCTCGGACTCTCGGATTATAAATACAGGAGCCCCACAGGGCTGTGTTCTTTCTCCCCTGCTCTTCTCCCTGTACACCAACCACTGCACCTCCAGCCACGACTCCGTGAAGCTGATCAAGTTCGCGGACGACACCACCCTCATTGGACTCATCTCCAACAACGATGAGTCCGCCTACAGGAGGGAGGTGGACCGGCTGGTGTCCTGGTGCAGTGGTAACAACCTGGAGCTGAACGCCCAGAAGACAGTGGAGATGATTGTGGACTTCAGGAAGAGCACTGTCCCCCCGCCCCCACCCTCCGTGATGGACTCCCCCATCACCTCTGTGGAGTCCTTCCGTTTCCTGGGCACCACCATCACCCAGGACCTCAAGTGGGAGCCGACCATCAGCTCCCCCATCAAGAAGGCCCAGCAGAGGATGTACTTCCTGCGGCAGCTCAGGAAAGCCAAGCTGCCTGCACAGATGTTGGTGCAGTTCTACACGGCCATCATCGAGTCCATCCTCACCTCCTCCGTCACCGTGTGGTTCGCTGGAGCCACAGTCAGGGACAAACAGAGACTACAGCGCATTGTGCGCTCTGCAGAGGAAGTGATCGGCCGCAGCCTTCCATCGCTGCAGGACCTGTACGTCGCCCGAGCTCGAGGCCGGGCTGGTCGTATCACAGCCGACCCCTCTCACCCTGCACATGGATTATTCCAACCACTCCCCTCAGGCAGGAGGCTGCGGTCCATCAGGACTAGAACCTCCCGCCACAAGAACAGTTTCTTCCCCTCTGCTGTTGGACTCTTGAACACTTCTTAACCTGTCCCCCCGCCCTTTATAAAGTCACTTTACTGCCCATCATACGTCACTTTACTTCACTGTACTGCTGTCACCTTACATTGTGTGCACCATGTGCACTTGTATATTGTAAATAGTAACTGTAACTCTATTTTAAATTTAAATTTATTCTTTAGAAGTGTTTTTTATTCTTATTTTTATTATCTCTTTTTGACTGTTGCACTGAGCCAAAGCAATTTCCAAGTCTGTGACCTCCCGTTACTTACGTTGGCAATAAAAATGATTCTGATTCTGATTTAAAACAATGCAGATTCTGAATTATGGTAACAAAATAATAACGTAGGCAATAACACTACATATTTTTAACATTTAGGCCTTATTCTGTGTTTTTTCCCCAAACATGTTTACTTGCTTTCCATCCCATGCATTATTCATCCACTACCATTACAGCCTCGAGTGGTGGTTTACTTTAGCATTTTAAAACTCATAAAAAGTTTGAATTTACTCTCAAACCAATGAGGACTTAACAAGAGCAGAAACCATTAAAATGACTACAGCGCAGAGACTCATGGCGTGATCCAAAGTACGCAGTTAAAACTCAAAATGTCATTGTCGAAACGGCGCAGAGAACAGCGTGGGAAACAGACGCAGCTTTTCAAAACGGACATAATGTGCGTAACATGGCCATGCACCGCACTTTGGGACACCTTATTATCTGAAGAAGAGCAGCAGGTGCCGCTGATGCTCGGGCATTTGAGACATTTGCATAAGGAGGCTGCAGAAGAAATGGACCAGGAGACATTTTAAACATTTGAACTCATTCTGTCACGGTGCATACGCATACGGTCGGAATAAGCACAACACGTTTGGTTATGGAAAATTAACTTTTAATTGACAATGGGTGTTTGTTGGCGTGAGTAAATTCAAAGTAGTAACAAAAAAAAAAAAAAAAACGTAATCCGGTCCACGCGTAAACATTGATGATTTCATGAAGTTCAATTTTCAAACTAATCCCATGACACAGTCCGCTGGTTCAGTCCATACATAACACACGGTTACCACCCCTCGTCCTCGCTCTCGTTAATACAACTGGATGTAAAAATCTGAACGTGTTTTTGGTTTTTTAAAGTGCTCTGACACCAAGAACTAGCAGCAGTTTGTATATACAAAGAAATGTGGGTCAGAACTCTTTGCACTCCTCACATCCAGCCCTAAAGGAACTACCCTTCTGCCAGTTGCAACATTTCAACCATTTCAGACGTTCTTTTATGACAATATTCTGCTTCTAAAAATGCTCAACATAAAATTAAAAAAAGGTTCCTCATGCATACATACAAAATTAGGTTGTTTTGTCTCTTCTTAACAATAGCATTTGTAAACACTGCGTGAGCTTCTTTCACGTCTCTTTCATAGAAAAATAAAGAGCCTCCCGCTGTGGCACCGGCGCAAAATACTCAACATTTGAACATCTCATAAATACAGAAAGAAGGAGTCAGGTTGAGAGGAAGCGTCGCTATAGACTGTAGGTGAGCAATTTGAAAATGCAAAGTCACATTTTCATGCAGCTCCACGGAGTCAGTCTCTATAGAAAGAAAGACACAGACGGTGAGATAATGGAGAGGGCTCGCTGTGGGTACAGAGGAGGTGTGAGCATGGACAGAGGTTAACACAGCTCCAGACACGGCTAACGCACTCGAGAAAAGTGATAAATTACATTAGTTTATGGGACTTTTTTTTTTTTTTTTTTACACAAACTCAAAATTTTAATAAAACATGTTACACAGATGCATGGCACATGGTTAATGGAGATCATGCTTGTAATAATAATAATAATAATAATTCATATTTCTTTAGTCGTTTCACTTCTTTCAAGCTTACAGGTGAAACTTTGGGAAAATTAGAAAATAATTTATTTCTTAATCAAACTTAAAATGAGAAACCAATATATAATTTAGACTCATCACATGCCAAAGTCACAAAAGTCTTTGATATTACTTCTTAAAGTCCATTATCAAAATTGTCACATTTTCTGAGATTTTATGTGGGGTTTTTACAAGCTGTGAGCCACAATGATCAGAATCAAAAATAAAAATAATAATAAAAAATCCCCAAAAATTGAAAATCTCTCTGGATAGGTTGAAAAAAATAAAAAAAATATAAGTGAATTCCTGAAAAACACTAATTAATAGATATAATGTTGCATTGGTTTTACAGTGTGTTGCAAAAGCATTTATACAACATTTTGTAACTGCCCCAAACATCAATGCTAATTTTGACTTTTGTTCTCAAAGTGAACACAAAATGATACTCGTTTTTTTTTTATCATTTCTTTTAAATACAAACTGTATCCATAAAGCAGTAGTATTTTGTGGAATCCCCTTTTGTTGCAATCACTGAGGTGTTTTGGGGACTGACTCTACAAGCTCTGCACATGTAGAGACTGAAAGTTTTGCAGATTCATCGTCACAAAGCAACACAAAATCTGTCAGACGAGATGAAGCGTTTAGGTCTGGACTTTGACCGGGCCATTCTAATCACATGTATTGTTTTAAACCATTCAAAAGTATTTGTGTTTGTTGATGCACCATGACATAACAGATAAACTGTATTCATATTTTTACAAGGCTCTGTATGTAGTGCTGCCTTGGTCACTGACTGATGTTTCACCAGGGCATTATTCATACACCACATACACAGTGGTACAGTGTGCCGCTTCTGTAGCCACAGCTGCCCTGGGGGAGACTGACACGTGTACACATGTCTATCCAAATAAAATAACATATACTCAAAACCACCAACTGTATAAGTGGGCCTCCAACTAAAAGATACATCTATTTTTAATGACTAAAGTGTCCCACATCATTCTGAGCTACTGCTTTCAAGAAATGTGCCTTGCGGATATTCAACGCTTAAGCAATTCTTCTGCTAATCTAAGCCTATAATCAAGATCTAAAGTCAAGTGAGTTCAGCCGATGTTTTCGCAGTGCTGGAGGAGGGGCAGGCAGGTGTGTGAGAGCGAAGAGGAGGCGACGAGTGGCTTCGAGGCTCAAACTTGGAGAAACTCTTGCAGCTGCCGCACCAGCTCAGTGTCCACCGTCTCCATGAGCAGACTGAAGCCCTGGTCTCCCATCATGCTCTGCTGCGTCTTCAGCTTCTCGTACACCACCTGCTGCAGCGAGACGGCGTGCACGGGGTCCTCCAGGGCCAGCTGCAGGGGCGACAACATCAGCATCAGACATGAGGGAAAAACGGAGCAGTCACAACAGCGGTGAAAGAGACGATAGGGACTGCAATAAAGCAGGGCTGGGACTTAAACTCAAAATCCATATTTGATTTCATTGTTTTTCTAATATTAAAATTCAAATATATTAGAATATTTATTTTGACCGATAAATGCTTGAAATATCTCTCAGAGTATATCTCTCCGCTGGCCATACGTGCGACAACCAATCAGAAAGCAACAAAGTGGTCACGGGCAAGAAGACGAAAACCCTCAAAAACTAAACCAGGACAATAAAAAAAAAATAGACAAAAAAAAGGTTTAACGTAGCCTGGTCGTACCACACCATAGTATCAAATACATTTCGTACTAAGGTCTGAAGGTGCTCCATTGAGCTCCGTTAACAGATGGGAGGGGTGAACTTTTGTAGACTGAAACGATTGGATCTGAGTTTACCGTGATGTATGTAATGCGCCTGAGTGAGTTGTTAGCATTTAGCCTAGCCATCTCCTTTGCCGCTAACAGAGCCCGTGGGGAGTAGCGCCACAATCTTTGCCAGCCATGACTTTTGCTAAACATTCCTCTTGCTCCGGCTTCAATTTCTAACTACAACACCAGCCTCTCGTGCTCGCTGATTGGTCGGATGGAATTCAACCGATTGTATTCGCTAACACAGGGACCAGACCAAGACGTTACATGCAGGGAAATGACGATTGAGTGGAGTGTACGGATGGCTAAGGCCAGGCTATGTTTAACCCAACCTGAAACCACTAAAGTTTCCGTCGGTATGTTGATACTCAAGAATAATACAATTCCCAAGAAGACATAAATGGGGAAAAAAATGATTGCCGCAACCTTGAAGTCGTACTTTTGTTGTGCTTTTCCATATTCAAGTCATAATTCATTCACTCCACGCTCTGCTACGGCCCTCTGTTATGGCATTACACGATTCAAATCATATGGGAGAAAGGTCAAAGTCCTCACAAAGTCCCTCAAATCAAGACAAAATTGGACTGAAAGCCATAAAAAGCTGGAGCAGCCCTCGGGTAGGCTGACGATCCTGAAATCACTCATGCATCACTTCAAAACCGAGTGGGTGGATGATGTGTCAAGTATGCAGTGACAAAAAAAAATAGTTGCCTTCACACAGAACAGAAATGGGGGTGAATTCAGATGATTTTGAACTTTGCACAATCAGATTGGCAAAAAAAATAAAACATTGTTGGAGCTCTCCAGAGGACTTCTCTGGGACTGGGAGATTGCCTTGGCAGAAATGGCAGAGATAAAAAGATACAATTGCCAGATTGTTTTATTATTGTGAAAAAGGACAGGATCCTACGGTCCAACAATAGCAGCACCTACTGGAAATACACAGTCAAATCTACTCCATCAACTAAATGATATAAATGGAAAAAGTACTTATTGCCTTTCTGTGTGGTTTTTCTCCTTTTTTCTCCTTCAGTTTCCCCCACCATCCAAAACATCCTCTAGAGAAGGCAGGTCTGACTGAGCCGAGCAACAATATCTGGAGATGGGTCCCATGTACAATCGAACAGCATGAGTGTGGCTGCATGATACTGTATATGAAAAATAATATGGTCATCGCAATAATCGCATGTGCAATATCCATATCGTAATAACGTGCACATCATGAGTTTCTTTCACACGCATGCTTGTTTTTACTTTGACCAATCACATGTGACCTTAAAGGCGCACCGCCGGATGGCTTGCAGTGTGATTGGTCAGAGCGAGTGCACACGAGCGATAGATCCAGGTGTAAATGAGAGCAGAAGCAAACACTAAGACAAAGATAGTCTAGAGAAAAGACAAAACAGGAGCGCCCACTCTAGCCTAACCTCTTAAAACCCGCCTCATTTTGGCTTGTGCACAAAAGTTTGGCATACCCAAATGTCTTTGCTTATTTAAAAACACATCTTACATCTCACATGCTTGTGTGATGCATCATTTTAAAGCTAGAGCCTTCTAGTTTATGTAAAAAAACACTAAAATAATGTTTGTCATTCCTATTTTCCTCTGCATCCTTTGAAGTTAGGGAAAAAAACCCAATTTTTTTAGCCTCGCCGAACATTTTCAATTTCTAAAGGCCCTAAAAAAGTCATACTTCATTGTAAGTTCACAATATTCAAACCCTCTGTTCATTGTGTTGTTGACAACAACTGTCTAAAGTTTCAGACTTCTAAGTTTTATAGTTTTTATGCAGTTTCTCCTTTTCATCAAGTAGTGCACATTTGGCACAATTTGGCACAAGTGTGCCAAATTGTGCCAAATATCTTTACTTACATTTAATCATCATAAAAACAATATTTTTTATTATTGGTACTTATAAGTTACTAATCTATGTGTGTTTTTCTTTTTTAAATGTCAAAGTTATTTTTTTATGAGTGTAAATTCATTGCAGCTTCGAGAGCGTCTTTTATCTTCCATTACGCACAATTGTCCAGGCCCAACATAAGACAGGACACCATTGTCCCACCCCTTGTTCGAAAGCTTTCCTCATTGGCTACAAGGACATGTCAATCGTAAATCCCGGAAGTAAAAGCAAACAAGTTGGGATCACAACAAAGATCAGTGATCAATGCGCAAACAGCAACACTAGCTGCACTTGCGGGACCTCTTGCAGACCCAAAAATTGGTCTAGCTTTTCGGGAGTAGTCTCATTTGAAAGATAAGGAGCTAAGGAACACGTAGATACCAGATGTTTGGGTGAAAAACAAAGCTAAAAGTCCGTTAAAAGTGAAAGAGTAACACCTGTGCTCTTATTTTTCGTTTTTTTCGCTAAAGATAAATGCACATTTTTGGATTATTTCTGCAGAATGGATTTTACTTTGGGAAATACAAGTGGATATAATTTTCCTTTGGACTGTTCCAGAGAGAATGATGTATTGCAAGCTGGGAGGAGAGCTGATTTATTTGTACAGCACAAGCCCAAAGGTAAAAAACTATTTCGGAATTGATTTATTTTGTGCCCACATTATGTGTTATATCTTTTGAATGCAAAGTCTGATGTAGTTTACACTTGTATATAAATGTAGATAAGAAAATAAGCTTTAAAATGATGTACAGCTTTTGGGGTTTGGTGTTCAAAATACATCTGCTATTGCCAGCAGAACATTTAAAAACATAAAAACGGCCGCCGGCGCGCCGGTTGGAGTAAAGAGGCTAAACAAAAAACATCCTTGCAGGTAAAGAGGTCTCACTTCCCTGATTTTACCCCAATTGTTATTTCTATTTTACATCACTGAAATCAACACATTCATTTAGCATGTAGACATGTATTTGCACCTGTTCTGACTGAAATTACAATGCGTTTTTATCACTTATTAGACAAAAACAAAGCTGAAGCCTCGATAAGAGCATGATTGTGTTCACATACCAGCACAGTAGATCGAGTATCACTCAATGCTAAACATTAGAGCAGCTAGTATGGACGTTAGCCCGAGTATTTAGACACACACCACCTGGTGACTGCTCTAAGCCTGGCTCACTGATTGCACTCAACCGTAGACCACTTTGAGTGGTAGAAGATATAAGCCCGCAAGATGTATAATATTTATATATATGCTTTTGCTACACTTTACAGTTGAACAAAATAAACATGATTTTGTTGCTTAAGCTTTTGTATTCATTATTGTAACTCGAAATCCATGTAAAAAAAAATATTTATAAGCAATCTAAGTAAGGGATAATGTATAGTACGTAGGTCATTATCGGAAAATAACTATACATTGTCCCGCTTATTATACGGCTTTGTACCGACTGAACACACAACATAAACTTAAGTCCACTTTTAGGTATGCTGAAAGGTTTATTTAATGACAGAAAATAAAATAGTTCCCAAAGGCTTTCCCGTGGCTATGCAAGTAACAGTTAGGCTAGCAACTTCCAAACTAGAACTCTCTGGAACTGCATGAAAACTGAACAAAGAATTCTGAACATCAGCGGTGAGTGACCCAAACATAAACCTAACCTAAATCCATAATTCGATCCTTTGCAAATGTTCCTAAAATGTCCCGGAACGTACTTCCAGGTTTGTCGCAATCGCTTTTTCTCGCATTAAAATAGTATTTTTGTCATGAAAACCTTAACAGTAAATTCTGAAAACTTCTGTGTATTAAAACTGTATATGTATACAGTAATGTATTCTCCGATTAACATTTAAATGTGTTGATTAATTGGTATTTGCGTTTATTGAGCGTGGCCAGCTCCGAAGTGGCCGGAACTACTTGCGGAGTAATCTACACATCTGAATTACAAGTAGAGGTTGCGTTGCCATGGGCAGCGGTCATTATTGTTTTGAGAGGTCCGTTACCAGGAAATGATGACCGGTGAACGATTTGAAATTACATTCAAATCAATGGAGCAGTGTAATAAATGCGATTAAATGATTACAAAACTTCCAATTAAATTGTTTTTATCGTGTCCCGGCCCTAGTATTAACCTTCAATGACAAGACGGTTAATATTTGTATGTGTATAATGCAGTACTTGTTTAATTCAGATACAATTTCTTTGGGGAAAAGAAAATATCGCAATATACATCGTTATCATCATCCTTGAGCCCACTGTCACGTACGGCGCTTTCATCATGGCGCCCTCTGCATCTCCTCCCTGTTGCATGGTCTTTTTCATGTACACATTACTGTACCTCCATCTATTCTTCTGCTCAGCACAGATGCCATTTTTTTGGTAATGCAGCCCATCCATCTCTCCCTCTTAATACATTCCTTGTGTCGTATGATTGGAGTTATTACGCCGGAGTGACAGAAGGCGTGCTAGCTCTGATCTGACAGTGGGTGATGGCGTGAGAGATCATATTCCTCGGCCCACCTTGACAATCTTGACCCGTTATATGATTGATGGCACATCTCTGGGCAGTAATCAAAGTTATCCGTTGAAAGGTCCAATCAAATAAGCTACAGCGCGGGATGACGGCGAAAGAACTGAAGAAGACTCGTATTGCATTTGACA